TAAATCATGTGTATTAAAATGAGCTAACATTTGTGTAAGTAGTATCTTTTCAAAAATCTTACTAAATACTGGTAAAATTGAGATAGGTCTAAAATTTGATATATTGTCTTTGTCACCAGATTTAAATAGCGGTATTATTTTACTCACTTTCATTAGACTGGAAAAATACCTTGATCAATGCTCATATTAAATATTTCAGTTAAATGTGAAGCAACTTCACTTATTACAGTTTTCATGACTCTAACTGACATACCCCAGATATCCTCAGTTCCTTTTAGATTGAGAGCGTTGAACGTTTTTATCACACAGGAGCAACTGATATGATGAAAAGTAAAGTCATGAACGCAAGGATTTATGGTATTTTTTAATAATGTTTCAGCTAAACTAGGTGACGAGTTTAAATTTTCCGTAGCTTTGAGAGGTATTGTTGAAAAGAAATTATCAAAAGTTTGAGCAACTAGTTCATTATTATCAATAATAACGCCATTTTCTGCTTTTAACTCATATTCTGACTGGCGCGACTTAATGTTACCTGTTTCTGTATTTATTATATTCCAGGTAGTTTTTATTTTATTTTTAGAAAACTTAATTTTATTCTTTAAATAAAGTGCCTTGGCGGCCTTACATACTTTTTTGAATAACTTTGAATAATTTTTGACATATTCATAGAATATAGGATCACGCAAATATGATCTAATATCATATAATTGATACATATTTTCCCTACTTATATTGATACCTAATGTTGACCATTCAGCGTACTTAGAATTATTGACTTTAAGTTTCTTTACTGTAAAATTGTTATCAAAATGATTTTTTATTATATTGAAAAAACGATTATATGATATATTTGGATCAATATTATCAAATATCAAAAACGGTAAACTTCCATTTAATCTGTTTTTAAAATTCTGTAATTTAAATGCTGTTGTTGGTCTGTAGAACTTATACATAATCTCGTTTTTTTCATTACATGCGAATGTTACTATTTGTCCACAATGGTCTGACGGCAATCTATTTATAATCGATTTATTTAAAATACTAAAATACAATATATATTATCAATACATGTTGCCGTAGTGGATGTAATATATCTGATATATATATTATATATCAGAATAACACATAGGCTATAGTTTAAAAATACATTCAGTAAATTGAGCTATATATAATGATAAGTGTGATGCAGACGAAGTCGCGGGCGATAGCTAGTATAATATATGTATACGATCACGACACATACACAGTACATCATGCGAAGTCTACGTGGATGTACTAGCCTATATTTCTTTATTTAAGGAAAGAGATACATCGGCTTTAGCACTTCCAGTAAATTTATAATTTATATTATCATAGTTAGCCAACCAAGATTCCACAAATAAAAAGGATACACATATGTATTTACGAAAAAAAAAAAATCTATGTACTTGTATCAGTTATCTAGTACCCGTAACACAAGCTTTAGCTAGCTTAACTTGGGACTAGATGGCGCTGTGTGAATTGTCTTGAGATTATTATTACTATTATACACACAAAATAACAGTTACTCTTATCCAAAATACTCTCAAACGATCAGACACTCTTCTTCATTGAGGAAATATATTTATTAATTTTACCACGGAACAGATCGACGTGACAACGTTATTTGCGTTACAAGGACTAATTAAGTAGTTTATGGCAGTCAACAACCGATTAAAAAATACTCATCATAATCGGTGCTAAATTGAACAAGAAATAGCTTAACGTACGCACATAAACATAAGCGTAATTCAGACCTTCATTGAAGTCAATTGAACCGGTAATCATTCAATATTTCAGAGAATTAAATTATTACAAAAAAAACCTAACGATGTGGTTAATGACTGATAACCTCTCAATTATTTGGGGATATAGAAATCCTGGTTCAGAGTCCACGGGATAAACTGACTAACTAATTAGTAATAAAAACAAACAAACAACGGACCGATTTCGAATTGTCATTCTCTAAACATATCTCCAAAACTACAATTTTACTGAGATCATTTTTATTAAGTATCGTTCATAGATCATAACGAACTAAAAACAATAATATAAATAAATAACCCTGGACAATTAACATCGCACCATTTAGTCCCACGGTACAGCTGGCCTTTACAGCTTCACTGGACGATAGGGGCGAGTGCAGATAGACTCGCAAAAGGACTTACAGAGCAGCTGAAGGCCAACTCCCGCCTGACGGGTACTACTTTAGTCTGAGGTACCGATCCCCGTTTGAATTGAACGGGGACCGATCGCAGGAGAGTATGTATGGATAGTTACTCTTTCACGCAAAACTACTCTACGAATTTTGATAAAACTTTATACATTAGAAGTGTATAAATACAGTGGGTTCTCTTTGCCAAGTTCGAATTCGACGACGCTGTCGGGTAATGTGAGCCAACTCTAAGTGAAATGACTTTCTGCAACTAACTAAATCAACATGTATCACTTTGTATTGATAAGTATAGCAACATTGTTTGTTGTCCTTACTGTATTAGATTATCCACAATAATTAACATTTGAACCCTGTATCTAACAAGGATATTTTCATTTATGTAATTGGAAATGATTTAATTATAGAATTGAATGTTATTGCTAATGGATTATTGTAAATTACGTATTATTTCCGTGCGTTATTATTGTTTCCTATTTGATAACGGGAATAGGAAGTAAGCTAGGGTCACATGTTACTGGAAAGATAATAATGTTTCCTGTAGACATAGTAGTTGTCTGGAGCAAACATTTCATTCTCTGAACAATCACTGGCAATGTTTATCTGACACCCCAGTATATAACAAACATTCAATAAAAGAAATAGAAATAATTTTTAATTTTATTTAAATAAACTCAATATGAGCACTTTTGAATAGTCATTCTACAACTAATTCGGAACGCAGATTCATCAAGAAGAATGAGATGAGCAAGAACCTTGTGATTTGCTCTTTTGAATTAACATTATTATAAATATTTAAATACATGTAAGAGACATGATAGATGAGGGATAATCAAAATAAAAACCGCTATGCACTCATTCCTTGTGCAATCAGATAATATTGAACAGCACTATAAATTTTAAGATTTTACTGCTAAAATGTTTATATATTTAAAAATAATTAAGTAAGTTAACAAGTTTATGGGAATGTGATTTAGATGTAAGATTTTTAAACATTAGTCTATCAAGTATGCCTTTGGTCACAGATACAAGGTTGAGCCACAGAGAATGGAGCAATTACATACTAATTAATAACAGAGTAGAAAATAAGCCTTAAGTTTTGGTTGTTAAATGACTTTATGTAAAAAAAGAGAACATTACAAGAAACATTGTTTTATTTTTATTGATAAGTATAACAAAATTCACATATATAAGTATTTAAATATACAAATAAAAATAAGAATATACAGTTTATCCAGTTGACAGACCAACAAATTAATGTTATATCCAAGAGAAACAAAGTTTATTGTATGTATGTGTGTTTATTTGTATAAACACACATACATACAATAAAATTAATGTCAAATAATCTGATTCATAAATAAAATTATATAATGACAGTGCAATGTGTGTGTGTGTATATACCTCCATTGGAGAGGAATCACTGATTAAACAATTTCTTTTAATTCTGCTAGCCTTGTCATATGACAACATTCCATGAGAATAGAATGACATTAAAAGAATTGTTTTTATATATACTACTATATATGTATATTATATTTCCATTGCAGAAGGAAAATTTTTAAAATTCATGTCTGAAGATGATGTTGTTATCCCAGCCAATTTTAGCCACAGTGACTGTCTTCAACTCTGGTTTTGCCGTTAATGTGCTCGCAAGTGGCTTATGTAGCCAATTTTGTTTATAAAAATCCTCGCGCATTGCGGCCATGAGAGCACACCATTCACATAATTATAGCTGTCAATTATACCATTCATGACTAACACTAAATGGAAACCCCATGCATTAACAATGATTGCTATACTGTTTGTAATTTAAAATATCATTAGTGAGTAATAGGCTATAGTTTTATATATATATGCAATTTAATAACAAATAATGTAAGAAAAATTCAAACAAAAATATTTTGGTTAGTGTGTAACCTTATGGCCTATTCGGAATATTATCTAGCCATTCATTTAAATATTGTTTTCATTCCCCAATAACCTTAGTGGAGGTGAAATGTGTTAACAATTACGTAGACGCACTATCAAATCAAATCAAATAAACTCGTTTATTTGCAGTATAGAGTGTTTATAGTTTTTAAGAATATAATATACAATGATTGGACATTACATTCAACATTGTTAAAATATATTCGGCCTGCATTTAGACATGCATATTTTTATTATAACACCCAGAGAATACTATTGAGAAAGCTTAATAAATATAAAACCAGCAAATGAATATTTCTATTATATTATAAATTACTGATCACTCTCATGAGAACTAAAAATAATATCAACTATTTCAGTGTTATCTTACATACAATTTAGTCAAATCCTGGCTGAAGGCAGCCATGGAAATCAAAGAAGTCAGAAACAGGATAAAAAAATGTAAAATAAACATAGATGGTTTTTTAATGGTTTTTTCCAAAGAGCCTATAAAATTATAATGTTTCATTGGATACATAAAAAAAATCTAAAACCTTAGCCAATAGAGCAGTAAGGTAAGCTTCTCTAATGTGACTGAAATTGCAAACAAACTGATGGCCCACTGATGAAAAGGGGCAAGTGTTAGGTGCAGACATTAACAGCAATGGACATAGTGTTATTCATGTTATACGACAGCCCTGCATGCCCTTAATACATTATCATTCCTGAGGACTAATGTCATGTCTCAATACCTCGTAATTGTACTGCTATATCTTCCAAATCAAGCTGTTTAGCGTCAGAAAAAGGAATGAGAGAACGGTATTCACTCTAATAAACAATAACAATTATCTTATAGCTTCTAATTTCTGTATCTAAGTAAAATAATTTATATACTTACGTCTAAGTCCCTTTGCAATAGACACGCTAAAATTATTCAACACAGACATATTCACGTTTCAGCACTACACAGTTCAGTTTATATTTATAAGCTCTTAAAGATATTGAACATTTAAATAAGTAATTTTTTTGCATCCAAACACTAAAATCACTAATTAATTGTAATATTGGTATTAAATTGTTGATGTAAAAACTCAATGACAAAAAGTCATCAATTGGATTGGATTATTTATTATCGTGGGGGCGTGGCGACTTCATGAATTCATAGGGCTCTCTCGTGTTTCGCATTAATGATACTGATAAGGTTTTTATTATTTAAATAATTTGCAGATATAAAATATCATGGAACGACTCGAGTGTGCACAAGTTTATTATTGACTTTGAAAGTTGTCAATAAGGTTGATTTTGACAAATGTCAGATGTTTGTTTAATTTTTTTTGTGTCTGTAAAGTACAGCACAAAGGGGCCTGCGCCCATACAGCCATATGCATGTTTAAATTGTCAGTCGTGACTTTGACAACGACGTCATATTTTTTTGCTTTATAGTATTCACCTAGATTGTACGATAAAAAACAACTAAAAATATATTAAATATTTTTTTTATATCTACTACTTTTAACTAAGGACCCTCCGATGAAGGCCCACCACTAGCCGGCTATGTCCGGGTTCTCCAGACATTTATATCTATGTAACTGGAAAGCGAACTGGTATTTAGAAATGAAAATCTTGTATACATAAATACGCCATTCAGTTAAATGTTTTCATTAGGTCCTTGGATGAAAAGCTATTTATCACATTTAGCAAGGTAAATGATTTTATACCTATTTTACCTGATTGTATATATTCTATTGCTATATCAGACGGTGTAAGATGAAATTTGAACGTTGTTTCCAAGGAGCAAAGCTTTGTTTCAAAATAAAACGCTTCTAACTGGGTACTTGTATATTAGTTCCATTATAAAATAGCTAATGAACGTTACAAGCAATAAATAACAAATTTAACAACACTATTCACTTGACTTTTCATTATTTACAATACCCTATATGAGGATTCTTATTCAACAAACACAATAATAATGGAATGTCGGATATTTACTGTAGGGCACAAATACATCAAAATTATGACTTATAAAATTTTAGAAAATTATTTAATTTTTTTATTACAATGATCAGACTAGGAAGCCAATAAATATTTTTAACTTTATTCACGACCCTAGAGTAAAAATCCGAATTAAACTATAAAAAAAAAATTAGGATGGTCAATATTATTGATGAAACAAAAAGGGGTCCATTCCATAACTATACCTATTTCTCCAGCAAACAAATTCACAAAGAAACCATTTCCATATATAATAATATTAAGTATAAAGGAATCGGTCACTAAAATAGCTAAATAACCGAATTATTCATTATTAAGTTAAAACATCATATAATTTATCTGTGACATGTCTTATATCAATCTGGCAGTGCAGGGAATACAGCAACAAAAAAAATAACAGTGAAATAAGATAATGTTAGGAATGTATGGGGCAAAAGTAATAAATAACAGAATCATAAATTATAACAATAAACACGACAATAATATTTACGATAGACAGACTACAATTAAGTCATCTCTGTCTACTGACACGTTCCGATATACGCAAATGAAAATAATTGAAAAAAAAACTGCAACAACAAAGCAAATGCAAATACATTAAATTGTTAAGAAATTATTTATTTTATTTTATTATATTATATAATTTAGAACATTATTTAATAATAATAGCAGTTGAACGTGTCAGAATTATTGTATAAAAGATTGAAAATTGTAAAATCTGAAAAATACATTTTTTTTTCTCCATTTAGAAGACATGAAAATGCAGGTAGACTTTCACAACCAGTATTTAAAAAGGTTCTTCATGCCTTATACACTTTCAGTGAATGTACTTAGTACAGCTAAGTTTCATGCTGGAATTGTTAATTATCAATATTACAAAATTTTGAAAAATGCAAAAGCGTGTAAAGTTTCATAAAGTATAACAAAAAATATTAGATTTATAAATACAAGGACAATGTTCCAGAAATCAATGCTCATATGACTTGATTATTATGTATCATTCAATTAAAAAAAAACATGTATCTTATACAATCCTTGTTTTATATGAATTAATTAAGTATAAAAATTCTACTATGGCCCGTGAACACACGATGATTTTAGCATTAGAATTCAACAAATTTGAGTCTGCACTACAATTATATACAACTATAATGAAATTATGAGCTTTACTTTGCACATTGTTATGTATATGTAGAATTATAAATAAATAAATAACCAATTAGCACAGCGCCATCTAGTCCCACGGTAAGCACATCTTGTGTTATGGATACTAGACAACTGATATAAATACATAGAATTTTTGTAAATACATCAGACCGATACAAACAATCATAGTCATGAATACAAATGTTTGCATCGTGCGAAGAATCGAACCCGCGAGCATAGGACGTAAAGCTGTGTGATACACCGCTAGACCATCGAAGCGTGATTTTATCCTCGCTATAACAGTCTATTCTTACGAGTACTAATTGAGTGTTCTGATACAGCATCGAGTTTCAAGCAGTTATAAAATACATCGTGTGCGACAGGCCTTATTTAGGATTAAGTTTTAAATAATTTAATATGAATACCTTAATTATAACATTTGTCTTTCTCCAACCCAATTCTACCCTGGTGTAGACCATATAAGAGCTCCAAATATAACTCAATACAATATCAAACAATACTTTTAAAATTTTAAACAATTTAATTATGACGTTAAATGTTTTTTTTTTTCGTCTCACCTTAGAATTCCCTTTGTTTAAAAAAAATATTTGCTTCAAGAGGTAATTATTAATATTGTAATACATAATATATATAGAAAACACTCAGCCCGTACAAACAATCATAATCATGAATGATTGTACCGTGCGAGGATGTGAACCCGCGACCATCAGAAATAAAGCGGTGTGCTAAACGACTAGACCACCGAGGCCGTCAAATTGTGTTTAAAATTATAATATATAAGAATATAAGTGATTTAAAGGATAAATCCAAGGGAATCATATGGCTGGACATTTTTTCGCAATGTATGTTGCTTACAAATTCTCTCGCGTTAAATGCAGCATTTGTTTTTGAACCACCGCATTTGACTAGAAAATAAATCATTGAGTATAAGCTTAAATATATAGTTACATTAGTGCTAATGTCAATGGAACCAGAAGGCAATAGACTAGCTGTTTACAGCGACTTAGTGCGCATAATATCTAATCTTTTGACTATCCAATCACAATAGTTACTGTGATAGAATAGACAGTCAGCCAAAATAAATAACTTTACATATAGATAACTTCATAAACACCTCGTCATTATATTTAAAAAAATATATATACTAAATTATATTTAAATCAGATGAAACCTAAGGCTTTATGACTCTATTCCTTCGTCTTCTTTACAATGAATCCATCAACGTCAGGCTATATTGTATTTTTATACACTAGTAATTTATTATTTTAGCATGTCTATTATACCATAAACATTGTATTGACATTAGCATTAATATAACGTTGTTAAAATAATTGTTAGTTGCAGTAAGGAACATTTTTATGAAACTGAAAATTCTACATTTATGATATAAAAAATTATAGTATTACAATTTTCAACAATATTCAGAACACATAGATAAATTGAATAATGTTAACAGTGAAAATAGTATTTTAATAATTTGTAATAAATCGTTACAAAGATGGCGCCATATGTAAAATGCATAAATTTTCTAGTTCCATAACTAAAACAATTATGTGTTGGTACTATTTAAGTAACCGGCCATGATAATAGATTATAAATAGTTTTTAAGATGTTTACACTAACGCTATGTCTACAAGATTCATAACTTAAGACAATAAATATAATAAATTATCTGCACATTCCCTTCGATACGAGAAAAAAGGCGGGAAAGTACGCAGAGAGCGCGTTTTTAAATTTCGAATTTATTTTTTGTTATTCCAGAATACAATGCCAAAGTGCCAGTGCATATTTAAAACAATAAACATGCTCTTGTGTGAGTTGGATGTTTACATAGCCCACTAAAAATGTGTATGCGACTTTTTAAATTTCGAATAACACAAAATTAATTCATTATTAATCTTATATTTGTAGGTTGTAATTTGTGGTTAAACTTTTTAATATTGTTTATAATACTTCTTTTGAAAAAGAACACTATATCAGTCAGTTGAAAAAGGGTAGAAACCACAGCTGAATTTTATATGGGAATTACGATATTTTTTGGTTTTTACAGTCAACTGAGATTTGGATTATTTTAAAACTGGGACTCAAACCCCGACTGAAAATCCATGACAGGTCAGACTTCTGTATGGACCATAGTAGTCGAGAAGTTTATTTAATGTTTCATGTATATTTATATAGCATATCTTTTTTTGTAGTGATATGTTTTATCATATTTTTGTTTTATTGATATATAGGAACTGTTATAGAAAATAAATTATAGAAGAAAGTGACTTATATAAGTAGCTAAAATAGATTACATAAATAAATTATTTTCGAATTCAAGTAGATAATTTATATTAATAGTTTAAATGACGGCTAGTGTTATATAGCCATAAATAATTTTATTTTTCGTCTCTCTGCCTACCCCGTAGAGGATTTATCGTTCATACACATTTTTAAAGTCATCAAAATTTTTCTAAAAGCAGAATATGTACACTACAATAATAAATTATGACAGTAGTATTCAAAACAAATAATTTATATCGATTATTAAAATAAACAAACCATGTCTTACGATTACAAGGATTTATAAGGGACAATACTACAAAAACAGGCTCCATTATTCGCTTCCGACCAAGTACATACGACATCACCGCTAACAATTAGCAAGGCACGTAATTTTTTATATTTAGTCTGTAATAAATAACCAATGCTAGCCCATACTGTGAAAATACAATGGTACGGATACACATGGTTTTAAAAAGCATGCTTAAAAATATTGTAACATGGCTATAAAAAACATGCTTTTGTATTTTAGACATATATCGATAAAATGCTAAACAAATACCGCAAACCGCCAGTATTGTCTTTGATCGTTTGCCTTTCGCGTTATGGATAATACGATTATTACTATGTAAACAATGTTCATGAGATTTGCCGAAGAACGTTATTAATTATCAAGGTGATCGACCTTTGTTTTGGTGCGATATTGTTTTATTATGTACAAGTGTTGTCATATTCATATCACAATTGCATTTAACACATAGGTAGTAAACGCGGTGCATATATTTTTTATGTTAATTTTTTTTTTTTTTATTTCATAGATATTATGCTAATTTTTGTTAACGATGCCGACGAAACTTACAATATATTTGTAGTATAGTTTCGACACGATATGTCATAAGAATGCTCACTGGCACGTGCAATCATTTCTAATAGCATGCTTCTAATAACCATGTGTATTCATAGCCTTAAACTTATTTATTGTCCGTCCTTTCAAACGAAGCCTGAGAGTTGGCACATACACTTTAAAAATAAATACCAGCTCAATAACAAAATGTATAAGAATATAATTCGCTTTTCATTGTTTTCAGATTTAACGATGAGTTCTATTTTCAAAATATAACATTTAAATCTATAGTAAATAAATCGCTATATTATTATATTTTGAAAATCGAATGTGGCTATAATAGTGTTGTATAAAAATTCCTAAAAAGTTATATATGTGCTTACTCTCGTCATATTTTAAAAACAATCAGCCCAAATACTGGTACATAAGGTGTATATTTTAATAGCTAGTATTATGACAAATTTATCTTACCGTCATACTCGTGTTGATGTCGTTTAATGTGTGACTTAACAAATCAATAATGAATCTATAAAACCAATATTTACTATAAAACCTTTCATTTTATATTTAATACTATTCAATGACTATTAAAAATGGAGCCTTCTAAACAGATATAAAGAATACGAAAGCATACTGTCTTTTGCACGTATTATGCATTAGTATTATTTTTATCTCGCTATATTTCGTGTTTCGTTTTTAATTTTACTCGTTTAGCTTTGAACTTCATTTTAAAATGGCGTCCTATCAAAAAATGGATGCCGATCACAAATGGCGCGAAATCGATATCGGTCGCCATGTTGCTTTTATCCATGAATATGGATTGTTTAGAATTTTATGTAGTAAATTGACAAGTGTCATTCAGTCTTCTTTCTTCTCTGTATCGGATTTCGGTTCCTCCTCGGCTGTTGAGGTGGGCCGATCCGAATCTCCATCTGAACCTTAAAAACGAACATAGAGATCACTTATGTGCCAATCGTTCCTTAAAAAAATGTATACCTTATAGTCTGTTTTTTAATCCCGGAGACAAATTCGACGTTTCCGATGTTGCCAGTTTTTGCATTTTTTAAATAGGGTTGTGGCACTATCGGAAATTAATATTAATTACACATTTTCATAGGTTACTCAGTCAATAATGTGTGGGTGTTTATTTAAAACGCAATATCACAAAATTAATAATGTATACGTATTAATAAATTTATGGTTAATAAATAGTTTTATTTTATTTTTCACGATAATAAAGAACTAACTGCATTTTTTATAAAACAAATGACCTTCTTATAGTGTCATATATCATAAAACATACACCTAATTAGAATATTTTGCTGTTTGAAAGAAAAAAATGTTGATTTGTAGCTTAATACTGTAAAAAATACAATTTGTACGGAAACGACAAAAATGTATTTTTATGCTGTATAACACGACGACAGTAATGGAAACACTAGTGAATTTAGAATTCAGTTGTGGAAACGTAATTTAAAGTTTTAAAACTAAACATATTAGTAAAAGCTTCCGATTAAACAAATCGGTACCGCATATACATCACTATCCCGCTATAGGTGGTAATATTATTTGAAACTATAACACCTGTCAAATTGGTCTCCGCGATTAAAAAACAGACTATACATGAGGTAAACTTACCGCCAATTTTCAGTACACCATTATGTTTCTCGTCTTCGCTATCGCTTCCAGAACTAGGGACCGGTGAGTCATCATCTGACGAACAAAATAAATAAAAAAATAAACATTTATAAATACATTTTAATTTAATTAGTTCTACCCATTTAGATGTATCAAATCAGATTACAAGAAAGAATACGTTGCGGTTTTTGTGTTGATTATTCGAAAAGCAACACGCAAGTTACTTGTTCTTTGTTCTTGTGATGAGACTACGCTCCAAATTAGTAGTATAAAGGAATAATATTAATGGGGACATTGCTAGCAATGTACTCTATTTCCCCTGGAAAACATTGAGATAAATTCCTGGTGAATTGGCAACGATTGGCTAACTAACCTGACTGCATTCTCATTTATAAGCTATTACTTTAAAATTACATAAAAATCCATTCAGAAGTTTTTGCGTGAAAGAGTAACAAACATTCATTTACATGCACAAACTTTCGCGTTTATAATATTAAAATAATATTCAATCACTGATTCTATTTATTGTTAAATTAATAATAGGTTAACTACTGGTGAATTCATGTCTTACTGGATATTTCTATAACCAGAGAAGGTACCCAAAATCCCTGATGGATCAATTTGACACGCCTATTTTACTAGATATATTTGAATTCTGGTTTACACAATACCTCTGGCCACCCCACTTAGGGTACTATCGTGATAATATGTTTATTTCTTTATTTCATACTACTAATGGCCCATATTATAAATACCTTACAGACTAACATACATATGAAAGATATTACATTTAATATAAATTGTCTGTGTGGTCACGGCACTGATGACGGTAATCTGCCACGATAGCGCCAATACACACCCCCTTCAGCCAATAGTCCTCCTTCATGAAGGTGGTCAGCATGTTGGTGGGATCTTGGGCCACAATCGACTTGAAACTCGCGTTATGACTCGATTTCAGCTTTCCCTCAAGGTCAGGTTACTTTTGGTCCATATGTAGTCGACAATGTCCTGCTCCTTAGTGGTGTAGTGTAAACGGGACAGGTACATTTCCCAAATATTATAACTAAGGGTCGGTACAAACCTGCTGTCGCCATCGGTAAAGCGCGTGGGGAAGACAGTAGAGGCGCAGCGGGCCGTTGCTTCCGCGCTGGGTTCATCTTACCACAGTACGCACATACATATGATACGAATTCGAATTCCTCCACCATCGCCATACCTGTAGAATTCAAATCCAAAATATCTTTATTCATGTAGGTCTATTACAGACTCTTATGATATGTCATATATCTTAATGTTCGGTGACCAAACTGCGACAGTTTGGTTTTAAATAGAAACTGACGGTAGATTTTACATATCATAAGAGTCCGTAATAGATCTACATGAATAAAGATATTTTGATTCAATGTTATTTTTTGTAAAACTTCCCATTATAATAATAATATCCCTGGGCAATTTTCACAGTGTCGTCTAGTCCCAAACTAAGCAAAACTTGTGTTGTGGGTACTAAACATCTATATATATATACATATATGTATATAATATATTTTTTTTAAATACATATATAATACACACAGACCGATATAAACAATCATACTCATGAATACAAATGTTTGAACCGTGCGAGGAATCGAACCCGCGTCCACTTTTCTAAAGCGTTAACCACTGAGATCATCAATAGACTGTTATCTATAAATATAATGTACATTGATTTAAAATTGATTAAAAGGAAGATATCTATCTAATCTAAATGTGTTTTTTTTATTTATATATTCAATTAATACTATATAAACTTATAGCTGATTGTCAACACGATTATATCTTAAAACTTAACTTTAACTATATTTAGAGAGGTATATTCTAATTTTATTTACTAGAGAAATCAGTTAGCGAATAAAAATGTAATTTCTATTTTAATATTGTTGTAATTATTATATATAATTTACTTTCTCTCTATCAATATATTGTTATAAAATTAATTATAATAAAATGGTAATACTAAACAAAAACATTTTTCTGACGAGCTACTCACTTGTCGGCGACTTGTTCACACATGCAATTTTAACTTTTAACGCACCGCGTCCTTTTTTTTAAATTGTTTATTCATTCTAATATTTATTATAAATAAAGCTTTGTAGTTTATTAACAAGTGTTACTTTAGACTGCCAAAAAAATTTAAGTTTTAATTGGCCCGTTGATGAATATGGTTGCTCACCACTGTTTAGTAAATTGTAAACAAACTAACCATTGTGTGATTTGCATTCCGAGCATATAAGCGCCATACGATGGTTGGGCCCCTCCTTCAGTAGGTAGTCGACCACTTTGTCCAACGCTGACCGGTTCTTGTCTAGAAGCGGTCGCGGCAGCTGGTCCGACTTTATGAAACAATTTTATTTTAATAAATCTTTTTTATTTATTTATTTTATTTAATTCAGGCTACATAGCTCATATTAGCGACTAGCTTTTGCCCGCGGCTTCGCTCGCGTTAATTTATCCCCTTAGGGGTGGAATTTATCAAAATCCTTTCTTAGCGGATGCCTACGTCATAACATCTATCTCCATACCAAATTTCAGCCCGATCCGTCCAGTGGTTTGGGCTGTGCGTTGATAGATCACTACGTCAGTCACCTTTGAGTTATATATATTTAGACTAACTAAATAATAATAAAATATAAATTCAAATTCTTATTATGGTCACGGCACTGGTGAACGGCAATCTACCACGATAGCGCCGATACACCACCCCAGAGCACTCGCCTACGCTAACGGTTTACGCTGGTAGGACACCAGGAAAAAGATGAACATGAAAGCAGATCAGTTGGCCCATCGTAGTAAATTTGCCAGGAATTTATCACGATCGTTTCCAGGTGCAGATTAATATCAGGTTGACCTCTATGCGGTTCCCTAAAACCATAAATCTACCTCACGCCCAATTTTCGTCCTCCACTACCTGCCAGGATAAACTAAAAGCAAAGAAGAGTGAACTGACGTGTCTTACTTTATTATCAATTAAAGAAATATATTATTTAGGAAAACGTCACTGAATTAGTCATACATTGTGGATGACAATGTATGTAAGTTCACTACACTAGATATAATAACATCTATTCAAAAGAGCAACACACAAGTTTCTTGCTCATTCTTCTAGTGAAGGGTCTGCGTTCCGAATTAGTGGTAGAATAAAAAAATATGACTATTCAAAAGTGCTTGTATCGAGTTATTTTAATTTATTTGAATAGAGAATAGTTCTATTTCTATCCTTGCCTAGTTTACCATTCCGACTAACCCAATAGGCGATAGTTATACCTTACCATCAGGACAAGTTTACCATTCTTTACCACTAAAATTACATAAAAAAAATTAACTCACCCTAAGTCTGGGCCCTTTGTATATAGCGGGCGTATTGTTCAAAGCAACCACATTCATATTATTGCTGACTGGTGTTGACGACTGCAGAGCCAGTTGACGCTGTCTCAACTGACCAGGAGTCGCTGAAATGAAAACATCATATTAAAACAGTGGTACACCCACAATGAAGGAGTTCATGATCTTATGGCAGTTTTTCAGTCGACAAAGTGTGATATTGCGTATTTAACGAAAATAATCCAAACTTTGAAATATGTGACGTCACAGTACGGGAAGTCACGCATGCAACCAACTAAAGGATAGGGGTTTATTTCATATACATCGGCCTCGGTGGTCTAGCGGTTCACACCGCTTCCTTCCGATGGACGCAAGTTCGATTCCGCGCAGTGAAAACATTTATATTCATGAGTATGGTTGTATCGGTCTGGGTGTTTTATAAGTATATTATGTAAGTATTTATATCAGTTGCCTAGTACCTATAAAACAAGCGCTGCTTAACTGAGATTAGATGACGCTGTGTTAATTGTCCAGGTCTATTAATTATTATTATATTGTTTACTAGCTACTCGCCCCGGCTTCGCGCGGGAGTCATGTATTATATATATAAACCTTCCTTTTGAATCACTCTATCTATTTAAAAAAACCGCTTCAAAATCCGTTGCGTATTTTTAAAGATTTAAGCATACATAGGGACGGACAGACAGCGAAAGTGACTTTGTTTTATACTATGTAATGATTCTCAATAGCATTAATTTTAAAGTATTGCGATATATAGATCTCGACTCTTACTTTAAATTAAATATAAACGATTCTACTTGATATTCAAACGATCGTTCAATATCGGATAGATATCGTATAATTATGTGATAAGATACTGTAATCTATTGCGGTTTTGGAATTTGTTGGTAAGGAAGTATTTGCAATACAAAACGGATATTAAATTGATTTTGCCCGCCTCGGTGATTTAACGGTTTAGCACCGCCATCCGATGGTCGAGGGTTCGATTCCTCGCACGGTACAAACATTTATATTGATGTGTATGATTATTTGTATCGGTCTGTTGGCGTGTTTTATGTGTATATTATGTATGTATTTACAAAAAAAATATCTAAGTATTTGTATCAGTTTTTAGTACCCATAACACAAGTTCTGCTTGCCGTGGGACTAGATGGCGCTGTGTTAATTATTCAGAGTTATTTATTATTATTTATTTAACTAGCTAATTAATTACAATTTATGATAGGTATGTAACAAAATAAATGCATTTATTTTTATATAGGGTACATGCACTAATTCTCATACGGCAAAAAATAACATCCAGTATAAAAAAATGTGTTATCATCTAGAATTAAAGTATATTTACAAGGAAACTACCTGGGGATGGTGAACTAGGGCTATTACCGGGTACGTTGAGTGTAGGCACGAACGGTTTTAGAGCTTTCGACTGTTCCTCTGGGCTGCCGTACTTATCCAGGAGGTTTTTTGCAACCTGTAAACAGATTTGATACACTCTATATTACACTTGTAATCTATACATAGTATAAAACAAAATGAGCCGCGTCATTTTGCTTATCTTTTAAATTACGAAACGGATTTAAATGCAGTTTTCAACAATAGATAGAGTAATTCAAGAGTAGTAGAGAGTAGTAGTAGAGTAGTAGAGTAGAGTACTAAGTAGAGCTTGTGTTATGGGTACTAGACAACTGATAGACATACTTAGATACATTTTTTTTTGTAAAAAACAAATTTATTGGTCTGGGTGTTTTTGTATATATGTCTGTATGTAACATATATACAGAAACACCCAGACCAATAAAAATGTTTTTACCGTGCGAGGAATCGAACCCGCAATCATCGGAATTAGGGTGCCAAACCGCTAGTCCACCAAGGCCTACAAAATGATTTGATATTTTTTTTTATAAATTTTTAATTAAATTCCCGTACATCATATTTATGTAATTTACTGCAAATAAAATGAGAATTTTATACCTTATATGTTTCCGTATTCATAACCTCTTCTAGTATCTGCTTCTTCTCTTCTTTCATCTTGTTTAGTTTTATTCTGTTCTTGATGATCGATCGTTTGTAATACCACCGTATGGATGACCGGAGTGATATTGCTCTACGGACAGATGTTTTAATAATTTAATATATACATACATAATCGCAATTTAATTAAACCTATGGTTTAAAAGTATATTACGATATAAGTGTGTTATTATGGTAACTCGTATAACACACGAGGCGGAATTTCAGCACGAGCCAAAGGCGACGGCATAATAGAGCTGAGTGTGTTAAAAACGAATGTACATCGTACGACGTTTTTCAACACACTTGATTTTAAATAAACTCAACCATAAAACTATTATGCATACTGTTGCTTTTCCATTGTTTTACTTTTTTAAAACAGCACGCTGCCTATATTGACTGGCGCCACGCAGGGGTCAGTTCGAAATTAGATAAAAAATATAATAGCAAATAGTGCGGTTATGGAATATAAAATTAATTGCCTTTATAACGCACGTGTTTTATAAATCGAAAACCGGTGAAATTCGGTCCACTTTACGTGCAAATATTTTGAATAAAAAAATACAATTCCATTTTTGTATTAAAATGTTAAAATAAATTTAATACTCACACTATTGGGAAAACGACAAACGGCGAGGCATACATAACTGAATGTACCCAGTGTTGCCCTCTGCCCATATAGACGTAATAGTACAAAATCAGGAAAATAACATAAAGTCCAACTGAGTACGTGTTGACATAGTTGTTTAGGCGTCTTTGCCTCTGTACATATGACATGTCATCTTCCTCGATGCTTTTTATCTGCGTTTCCAGTCTTTCTAGAACCTCCGATGTTGTTTTTTTGCGCTGTAACAAATAAAATGTTTGTTTAGGTAACTGGAATAGCAAAATGGTTTGAAATTACGAAGGCCTGAGCCGAGGTTCGAACCCCGAGCGTTACCCTCAAACTAATGTCGTATCCATCAGCTAGAAATTGGTCTTCAGCTGTTCCATAAATGGTTCCGCGGGTTTGGACTGCTATCTGCACTCGCCCCCTATCGACCGATGAAGCTATAAAGGAAGCGATGAAGGTGTGCTAAACCGCTAGACAACCGAGGCCGTCTGGCACTATGGCAATGAACTATACCAATAATACCTACTACGATATTTTTTTTAATGAAAGTCTGCTGTAAGTAGAGCGAGACGAAAGAGCTTGCGGTTAACTAAAAACAATGAAGGTTTTAAAATAGTCTTTGATATCAAATTTAAAGTTTATGGCACTTAAAACAAAGCTTACCTTAAATTTAAGTTAATTTATACATATATATACTAACTGACCCTGCAAACGTTGTTTCGTCATATACATTAAAATCGATATTAAAAAATAGGGGTTGATAGTAGAAGGGTGAAAATTTAAGGTAGTATGTATCTATTATATTTTTGAAGCCATATTAAAAAAAATTGAAATTTAAAATGTTGTCACAAATTTAAAAAATATGTTAGAGGTGGACAACCCTTATCACTTAGGGATATAAAATAGATAGTAGCCAATTTTCAGACCTACTGAATACGTATATAAAATTTCATAAAAATCGGTCAAGACGTTTCGGAGGTATATGGTAGTTAACATTGTGACACGAAAATTTTATATATAAGATATACCTATATGTTTATCATGACTCATGACATTAAATATACCTATGCAGCTATTGGAATTAGAACTAGTCACAATTGTATTATTATTAGGACATAATGGAATTAACAGATTTAGATAAAAACAATAATGGACAACAAAGTTTAGATAAGATCTAATATCTTTCATGAAAATCAGTACGTATTTAATTCAATACTTTATTTGCAAAAACACAGGTACAAATTACTTTTTATATATAAAAATAAATTGCATTAAAATATTATTGCGACTATAAATTGAGATGTAAGCTATCCTATCTTTCAAGTTGGATCAAATTGTACACAATGTGCAAATCAAATTTGCAATCAGTTCAGTTTAGGAGTCTCTCGCGGACAAACAACGTGACACGTAATTTTTATATATAAAGAAATAATTTAACACACCACACACCATGTTTTGACTGACTCCGATTCCTTTAAAAAAACGAACAGGTACAAAGTTGACGGAATAACTATGAATATTATTCATAGTATATAGGACAATATCAGTAGTAAATAGACGGATACGGCAATAGGTCAATATCAATTAATTGACAGATCAAATAGATAGACAATAAAACAAAATGAAATTCAACAAAAGTATGCACTTTAAAGAAAGTTGAAAACTATGCAAGAGGCATACGGCCAGCAGTGGAATAATATATGCCAAAGAAGAAGATACACATAAAAAAAATCAAATATTAATATTACAACCTAGAGACCCCAAATTGGACGGAATTTGTCCGAAAACTCTTCATATATTTGAAATAGAAATAGAAATAGAAATAATCTGTATTCAAATAAACTTAATATAAGCACTTTTGAATAGTCAAATTTTTTTATTCTACCGCTCATTCGGAATGCAGACTCATCACAAGAAGAATGAGCAAGAAACTTGTGTGTTGCTCTTTTAAATAAATATGGATTTACTTATATCTAATTAACAACAAGGATTAGGCATGCGACAATCAAGATAGAAACCGCTACGCAATTTGATCATATTAGGTGTTATTTTGCGGCTTCACACATGCTAATAGGAGCGGAATTAAAGGAAATAATACAAATTCATTAAGTAATGATAACTTTCTGATATTTTTATTTCCGACTGATTCTGCATAGATGTAAATACTGGTAACAAACTAAATTAATTCGAGAGACGCTCGACAATTATTGATAATTTTTTTATTTTGTTAATTTCGCTATTTGACAGTTTGTCACACAGTCCTAAAATGTAATGCTGAACAAAATTTATTTAAAAAACCTAACACGCAACGTTCGCACATTTCTTGGCCGTTTTTTTTTTTTGATGAGTCAGCGTTCCGAATGAGTGTTAGTATTTAATATGTGAGACGAGAGGATCCCATTCACTCGACATAATGATAAAAAAACCTATAAATAACAAAGTAACTCTTTACGTCTATTTCTTCTAAAATACGGTATAGTTTACCATAGTTCGTGAATTTCTTTCGAAAGTTTGTTGGTGTAATACATGCATATATAGTATATATATACTATACTATATCATCCACCGTCACATACATTCTACACTCAAGATGAGCTGAGGCGGGTCGCTGTAGCCCAGCGACTATTAAAAAACATATGAAATGAACAAATACATATAATGCGTAAATTTATGTTATAAAACTGTGTACAATTCTCACAGCGCCCCCTTGTCTTAAACTAAGAAGAGCTTGTTTTATGGGTACTAGACAATTGTTTAAATACATCTTATATATAAAATTCTCGTGTCACAGTTTTCGTTCCCATACTCCTCCGAAACGGCTTGACCGATTCTCATGAAATTTTGTGAGCGTATTGAGTAGGTCTGAGAATCGGCCAACATCCATTTTTCATCCCCTTAAATGTTAGGGGTAGTCCAACCCTAAATTTATTTTTTATTTTTTAGACAAAATTTTTAGTTTCTATTTTTTTATGTTACAACATACAAAAATACATACAATCCTAAATTTTGACCCTTCTATCATCAACCCCTATTTTTTTATAGCGTTATTAATTTATATGGCAAAACAACGTTTGCCGGGACAGCTAGTAATTTATATAAAAAACTTATAAAAACAATAATACTCATGAATACAAATGAACAGACTATCTGAATATATATAAGACTAGATAAATATATATATATATATATCGACGGCCTCGGTAGTCTAGCGGTTCAGCAAAACGTGCAATGCTATACTTCCGATTGTCGCGGTTGCGGCCCACGCACGGTGCAAGCATTTGTATTCATGAGTATGATTGATTGTATCGGTCTTGGTGTTTTCTACATAGGTATATGAGAATATCACGATCACCCATGCGATGGACCGACCAAGTTAAAGCAGCGGTAGGCGGTCCATTCCACGAGTGTACCAGAATGGTAGCCAGTAGGGAGAAATGGCGTGCTGTCGTAAGGCGGACGAGATCTGCCTCTCACTCCACTACAGAATTGCTACTTATATTATCAAGGGATAATCGAATAAGAAGAGATACAAAAATATTTAAAAAGAAATATCTGGGTATTTATATCAGTTGTCTAGTTCCCATAACACAAGCTGTACTTAGTTTGGGACTAGATGGCGCGTGAATTGTCCAGGGTTATTAATACTATCATTATTATATTTATCTAGCAATAGTCGTTATAGATACTTTTCTACGTAGTTATAACACCGGACCAAAAATTTCGCGAGAAAGTGAAAGTACTCGCTCGTTCACTCGAGACCACGCTTTGAGATTGTAACTGTCATAGTGATTTGAAAGTTCGCAAAAACCATCATCTATATCTTCACGATCATTATCCTCGACAGGGTAATCAGTATTATTGTTAATGCCGACGTCGTAGTGAAAAGTGATTTTTACATGACCAAGGTTTTTTTTTATAGAATAGGACAAACTACTTTTCAGCTAAAGTACTAGTAGTATAAAAATAAGCTGATGGTAAGTGATTACCGCCGCCGCCAATGAACACCTCGCAACACCAGGGAAATAGCAAGTGCGTTGCCGGCTCTTTAAATTTCAATATCGTATCGGTTCGGAAATTCTACTGGTTATGCGTGGCAAAGTTTCTGGAAAAACGCACTGTGGAGGGCCGCCATTCGTTCATATAATCAGGATGGCATTTTAGTTTCTTGCTCTCTACTCAGAACATCCTTAGGGATATATGCGGTAGAAAATGCACAGAGATGCAATATCTTTCCGCAAAACCTGTCGAGTCGAAAGGTCGAATCTGTCACAAAGACGTTGATTACCAATGGCCACTCAGTTTTGAATGCGGTCAAATGGAATTAAATGTTTTCTGCTTGTCAAATTGCTAGCTCTCTATAATCCCCATTTAGTGATATTGACTATTAGGAGCTAGCAATTTGACGCTTGCATATATCAGTACATTCGAGATTCCAAGGTTGAATTTGATTTTCAATTGCAGGACTTATCAGCGATTATATCGTGAGTCATGCAAGATTGATGAATCTCAAGTGATTTCATCTATTTTCGTGTTCATGCGTTGTAAAATACATTGTAATATTTTAATATGAGATAAATGTAGATAGATTAGCCTCAGTATATATTTACATGCCATAATGTTAAAAACACATGAAGTCAGTTCACTTAGCTCTTGGCCAGTGAACTATTTTTTCTTTTCCAATGCTGCTTATTGACAATCTGTTTATTTTAAAACAATGTTACAATCTGATGGCTCTTTTTTATAAAATGGTGGTATCCCTTTCAATTGATAAGGCTAGTGGACTGAATTTCAGGCGCTGTTTGCAAATCTTTCCGCTAATCCCTGGATGTCACATTTTTTAAGTTGACAGTTGCTTAGACTGGTAGCTTCTACTGTAGGATTCTATTTCCGGTTTTAATGTGTTTAATTTTATTTAATAATGTGAAATTTGTATTCCCCAATACATAAATAAAACATAAAAGTCGTAGTTTATACTACCTACGACTTTTTTTAATGCATAAGAATGGTACCAGCTGTCATTGTGACTACGTACTACTACGGTATACTGGGGATATGTCAATATCTCTGTTGGCGGCCCTAAATAATCATGATGATTAATTCCTAGTTATCTAACTGTTTCGACCTGACTTCAGCCCTATTCCGACATTCGACATTCCCCACGGTCGCCCCGCCAGCGTACGAGTATATAGTTAACGCAGCTGGATGCACCATAACATATTCATCCACACAAAAAAAAAAACAAATCCTAGATGAAATCTCATAACCACTTAAATAACCATACTATATTCGTCCACTCATAAAAAAATATAACAGCTTCTAGATCGAATATTATAAGCGCTGAAATACCAGTCAATCTTCGTGAAAAAACACGTGTGTGAGCCCCAAAGGCAGTTAACAAAAACGTATATTTAAAACGTAATTCAACCTTTATACTGTTTTATGATCGTACAATGAATAAATTTACAAACAAAATTAGTTAAAAGAGTAACACACAAGTTTCTTGTTTATTCTTCTTTCCTTAGCTCTCCAAAAGAGCGGTAAATTAAAAAAACAAGTAATGACTATCCAAAAGTGTTTAATTATAAGTTTACTTGAATAAAGATTTTTCATTTCTATTCCTGTTTTCCTTAATGAAATACACCATTGTACATTCATTAGCATTGTTTTAATACGCATATATGAATTGTTAATGAATGATATCATTCAATACTATTGTTATATTGAAAACAAAGTCAGACAATATATATTTTTAACAGATAGCAAAAAAAATATTATACCGATTTACAAAACAACCTTGTAGGATTTACCGTAATAGACTTTGTACAATGTCTGGTGTGGGTACCTCTGTCACACCTATTTCAGCCAATAAGCAGCTTCCTTTATATATGACGGCCTCAGTGGTCTAGCGGTTTAGCACACCGCCTAACTTCCGACGGTCGCGGGTTCGATTCCTCGCACGGCACGAACATTTGTATTCATGAATATGATTGTTTGTATGGGTCTGGAAATATTCTATGTATATTATGTATGTATTTACGATAAAAAAATATATATCTATGTATTTGTGTCAGTTATCTAGTAACCATAACACAAGCTTTAGATAGCTCAACTTGGGTCTAGCTGACGCTGTGTCAATTATCCAGAGATTATTATTATTATATATTACATATATGTATATATGTATATGTAATTTGAAGGATCATCCTTCAAATAGTAATAGCAATAGTTTCCTACAAAGTGGACCAAGTGGATGTCGATCCTGTTAAGTATGCAGAACATTATTAATAACTGTTCCCCAATAATAACCATGTCTCTAATCTTGTAATTACACTATCATATCACACACACTCTTCAACTAAAACACATTTTACAAAGCAAGTCACTTAATTAAGTGACATTTTAGAACCTATCAAACACATTTTTTTTCCTCTTCCTATCTGCAATCAGTCCCAGAACTACGAGCAGATTTCTTTTGGTCTGGGAATTAAGAATGAAGTGTCCACCCCAGCGGGAGGATCTGCTTCTTAAGCATACTGCAAACATTACACAATGTCGCATCTTTTTTGTCGCTTGGGGTAAAGTATTTGTAGTAATTGAGCAGCCAGTTGATTTGGGTGTCAACATATAACAAAGTAATCAGCTTCTAATAATCTATTAATAATCTATTTATTTATACTCCATATTGCACCAATTACAGACCAAAAAAAATCAAAATAGTAAATGTACATTAACTGATACAAAAGGAGGTCTTATCGCTAAGCAATCTATTCCTTTGTATAGAAAAAGTAAAAATAAGAAAAGAGCATGTAATAAATATATATGACTACAAATATACATGTTAATATGTATGTTATGGTCAAATTCTATGGAAGACAGCAGTGAAATTACAAATTGAGGTACAAACAAAAATATATCTCAAAAAACGCCAATGCAGGTGTACCACTGGCATTACCACACCTTTTGTGACATACACAGTTTAATCTATAAATTACTGTTAACAGGTTTCATTATACAAATTAATAAAACTCATTTTGAATACAATAATAAAATGATATCATAGTAAAAACTAAATTCAATATTAAAAAGGGATATTTCATCTGTACCTACATAGAGTATCTGTGTATCATGGATTTTTTTTGTCTCCATCTTTCAATAAGTCAAAAACTGAGCAGATGTGATAAGTGTTTATGGAATAAAGTATTAATTAAAATAATTTATCTATGCTAAAATTATATTCATACAGAATACTTAATATAGCCTTCAACTACATTATTATGAAACAGATGCACTTATTGAATAATTATGAAAAGAATAAATATGTTGAAATCTATGTATAGCCAATTTAAGATGTATATGAACAGATAGTTCAAACCTATTATATGTACAATTAAAAAATAATAGGTCACGACCAAAGATTTGAATTCCCGCCAAAAAGAATCTAAAATAACCATAGCATTATCTATCATCTAGGTTCTGGATTTGTACCTACAAAATTTACGTAGCTATTATTTAACTGAATACTTACTCGAAATCTTGATAAAAACCCGAAGAACCCCATTATATCTTGAAGTCAAAATCACAAATAATAAATATTCCTTGTTACACTTATTTAATTTCTGTTGATTCTATTTCGACGTCTAAAAATAAGTTTGGCATAAATTGTGATGACGAATTTGATTGCCGACTTTCTAACCTAGAACACTGGTACGGATAGATATTAGAGAATATTCCAATTAAAAGTATAATGAACTGTAATTAATTAGAAACTAGATCACATATACACAATATTCGATAAAACAAGTAATTCTATTATAGCGAGTACGTCATCGAAACAAATAAAACGCGAGCAGAAGACAATACATGTCGAATTCGACAAGCAAACTGTGTTGCCAAAATAACATTTACAAATTACATTTGTTTTTGTGACGTTTGATAGTATTGTATTATATTAGTATTTACGTACGTATATTATGTAATGCATATATTTCATAGGTTTATTATTTTAAAAAAATTAAGAGCATCTACTCATATAATGGGAATAATAAATCGATGTAATGATAGTGAAAAGAAATGAATTATATTGTTTTTTTTCTCGGTAAATAATTGTAACAGATTACATATTTGTAGTAATAAAGTATCTTTTTTGATATAACGGTCTGTATCCTCGACTATCTATTAGCATCGCACCGACAGGGAATTCATCCTAACACGCTGAAATCTAACTGGTCTCGGACTCTGGGGCTTCGCAGGAGCTTCCTCAAGGGTGCACTTAGATTATGGAATGAACTATCTGTCGAGGTTTACTCTAGAGACTACAGCATGGGATTGTTCCAAGAAGAGTTTATTAAGGTTTCTCATAATACGGTAACGCGTACGTTATACCTTTGGTGCGTCAGGAGTCCCTAGCCTCCGGTAACCATTTAGCATCAGAAAGGCCCTTATGCTTGATTCCCACCATCGTAGTATAAAAAAATGGGCAACCAAATACTATGGAGTCTAGAACATTGTATTTTACTACTCATTTTCCCGTTACTATCCACCCATAACTGAGAAGTTATAGGAGCGGATAGCGCGTACTGCCAAACTCTACCTCTACCGGGTCCTTTCTTCTGTCTCAATCGCCTTTTTAAGTTGCTTTGCTTCTACCCACCTCAAATGATGCGTAATACATATCGGTAATAAGATTTTTTTTGGGTATGTACGTAATACCGTTTTATTACAATATGTAAGGTTAACTTTGGTGAATATAGATAGTGCACTAAATATCATTTCATACTCCACAAATAAAAAAAATAAAAGCATATCTTTTATCCGTAAAAATCTCTACATATTTTGCGGCTAAAAGAAATGCTTTCTTTTATTTTTATAAATATTAAAAAATATTATCCTAGATCATACCTACCCTGAAGAGGGCTAAAATATACTGAGGTGTAAACACTGGCAGCGCCAGAAGAAATAACATAGGTTAAGACAGCACAAACTGACAGAATGACAGTTTTTGATGTCATTCAGTGTCAGTACTGTCATTGTAGTGTAACGTTGAAATAACGAGTAAATGGATAAAACAGCCTTTATCATTATATTTATTTTATGTGTGTAATTCATTGGATTTTATACCACAAATATAATATCATTCTTGTACCGAAAATATCTTTGTTTACGTACTACCCTGATTTACATCAAACAGACGTAAATATGAATCTAATAAGTTCGAAAAAAAAACTTTCTGTGTTAATTTTATTTTTGACTTATTTTCCGTTTGAAATAACCAATAACAAACCAAAATTATTCCAAGAGATGTATTCAAATAGAGTGAAATATGGGCAAGTTGCTTCATCACGTTGTTGGCATTTGACAATGCTCATTAGTAATCTATTTGTGATAAACGAATATGTATTAATTATAATTACGTGCTCAGTGGTAGGTAGTTAGGTATGATCGGGCTAGTCATGCATGGGAAAGACCTACCATCAGTAGATATCCGTGTACGACTTGGTCGTCTAGTCAAAATACCGTTTGCTAACCAGGTCCTGCGCGGAAAGGACCTACCATAAGTAAGATGGCAGTGTAGGATTGGTCTTCTAGTCAAAATAGTGTTTGCTAGCCAGGCCATGCGCGGGATGGACCTACCATCGATAGATATCCGTGTAGGACTGGTCGTGTAATCAAAATAGCATTTGCTAGCCAGGTCCTGCGCGGAAAGGATCTACCATAAGTAGATAGCAGTGTAGGATTGGTCATCTAGTCAAAATAGAGTTTGCTAGCCAGGCCATGCGCGGGATGGACCTACCATCGATAGATATCCGTGTAGGACTGGTCTTGTAGTCAAAATAACATTTGCTAGCCAGGCCCTGCGCAGAAAGAACCTACCATAGGTAGATGTCAGTGTAGGACTGGTCATCTAGTCAAAGTAGCATTTGCTAATTGGGACCAAAGAGTAAAGTAAATATACCAAAGGAATGGGACCCAACCGGGGCGAGAGGATTATTATTACGGAAACTGTTAGGCCCCATTGCAAGTTATGTGCCATGTTATGTCACACATAGCGCAGGACGAGTCTAACTGATGGTTTAACGTTGGTGCAATTTCTGATTTTGTATTTTTTAACTGTATACTATGTACCTGAATTATGGTCAGTCAATTATGAAGATATATTAATGAAACTTTCGCGGTGTATTTATTTGTAAAAAAGTATATTTAGCACATAAATATAAATAAGTTTGCTATAATTAAACATATTTCAATAATTCAGCTTAACAGTATATTAACAATTTTGCCAATCTTCTTTGTAACATTCCAACGAAGTGACGCTCGCTGAATGGGGTCCCTCCTGACGGCCATCGGAGTCCACACACCTACACAGACCCCGACGGCATTGGATTCTTCTGAAGTTACCATTTTTGCAGCATACAGGCTTCTCAGCTGATGTTGCCATTATCTCGGAGGTTAACGCACATTCTGAAAAACAACGCAAGACCATTAAAATTGATACCGACGATTGTCTATATTGACGGCCTCGGTTGTCCAGCGGTTTAGCACACCGCCTTACTGCCGATGGTCGCAGGTTCGATTCCTCGCACGGCACAAACCTTTGTATTCATGAGTATGATTGTTTGTATCAGACTGGGTATTTTCTATGTATTTACGAAAAGAAATATCTATGTATTTGTATCAGTTTTCAGGTACCCATAATACAAGCTTTAGCTAGCTTAACTTGGGTCTAGATGGCGCTGTGTGAATTATCCTGAGATTATTGTTATTATTATTATATATTTTTAGGGAGTGTTACCGTCAACAGCAATCGTTCGGCAGCGTGCCTCGCTAAAGCAGAATTCAGAGATTACAACAACGTCATCTAGATTATGAGTGAGATAATCACAATATATTTTAATTTAATAAATATGATTTGTACCTATATACTTGAAGTAAACATATAAATAGTAAAGATTAAATCAAATTATAATTATGATATAAAATGCATGTTCTAGAAATTTGATATTCATATTTATTTTTTAGTACAAAACATAAGTTTCGATTTGACCATATCGGTTCTACCTACCTACTGGCTTTAAATAGAATCACGATATTGTCGATATAATTTGCACAGTCCTGTTGCATCATTTAAAAGATATAAGCGAACAGACAGCGAAACTTTGTTTTATCTTCTTATATATAAAATTCTCGTGTCACATTGTTAGTTACTGTACTACTCCAAAACGCTTTGATCGATTTTTATGAAATTTTATATGCATATTTAGTAGATTTGAGAATCGGTTACTATCTATTTTTCATACCCTTAAATGATAAAGGTTGGCCACCCCTAACATATGTATACTTTTTTTATTTATTGGACAATTTAAAAATTTTTTATAATCACGTAATGTGGCATTAAAAAATACACAACCCTAAATTTTCACCACTCTACCACGAACTCCTATTTTTAAAAGTGATATTAGTAACTAATTTTTTATGGCAAAACAACATTTGCGGTGCCAGCCAGTACTATGAAAAGATTATAAAGTAATCACATACTGCAATCCATTGATTCATATTCAGGTGTATGGGGCTCTGCTTGGTAGTTTTCAATCTGATGCCCCCGGTCGTCGACGCACATTTTCCTACAAAAAAATAAAATTTTAGAAAATATACTAGTTCCATTTACTAAAGAGATAACATATATTTCTGTTGCAGACATTGATACTGTTATCAAAATGTTTGTTTTCCAAAAAATGTAACAGTTTAGTTCAATATTTTTTATGAATTTGCGTATATGTTCAAACACAATAAAAAACAAAAAAAAAGGTAATATGCCGACATGATATTGGAGGTATAGAACATGGTTGTCATTTCCTACTCAGTGGGCCTTCAGATCAGTGACGGCCTTATCCTTTACGAGGCTCCGGGCTTTGAGAGGCCCTTTATCCTACGTGAAAAGTATGCGAACGATTGATTCGATTTAGTTAAGTCTAAAGCTATTCAACAGTAACAAGACCATCTCACGAAACCACAGACCACACACGAGTAGTGACCTCAACTCAAAGACCCTAAGGATTCGTCGATTCACCAACATGGCATGTAGAGCCTTGCATTACGGACCTACTTCTAAATGCATTACAATAGTCCACCACTTAACTGAATTGTAGAATGCAAGTGGTGATACGTATGGATGAGGACTGGAGTCCAATGAATTTTGCATAAAGATCGTTCATGAAGTTTAAACAAAAACAGGTAAAAAAAGCGTACATATACATATACCAAATTAATGGAATTTTCCACGGATTCAAGAAAACTGTGCGCTATTTTATATTTTGATTAACATTGTTTTTGTTAAACCATGGCTTGCGTAGTGCATCAAACCTCCTCCTTAAAACTCATTCACATAGTTCCTCATTCTACAGTAAATCCTTCTCAGTCCATGCTGTTCGCCTCTGGAATTCTATACCTTATTCCATTCGTAGCGCACAATCACTACCCATTTTTAAGAGCTCGGTTAAATCCCATTACCTCTCCACTTAAATTTCCCTGTATTCAGTTTTTAAATAAATAAATAAATTGTTTTTTCTTTGTGTATTTTAGTATTGGTAATTTTGTTCATTTTCGATTAATTACCTAAGTCAGGAAGTTTATGCAACTTGCCACTAGGCAAAATGCCACTCTCTGGTTGTTTAAAAATTGTTTTGGTTGTGCCGCGAGGACTCTGCAAGAGTGAGGCCCCGGGCAATTGCCCTCTTGGCCACATTCAATCCCACCACTGCATCAGATTGTTTTTCATTGTAATTACATAAAAAAATACCCACGTTCCATTTCTGGTCCGAACAATCCTGCCGTACGTTCCGTCCGGTAGACACTCAGAAACTGTAGTAAAGTAGTCCATATCAAATCCATCTTTTTCACTCTGCAAGATGTAGTGTATAGTTTCGTTCATTTTATCTAAACACGGAGTGGTGTAATTGTACGTTGGTTCTCCGGTGGACTGGTCAGGAAAGAGGTCTAGGTTGCGGTTATCTGGAAAAAATATGTCCATAAATATTGCTAAGAGTAATATTTCACTCTTCTTCACTTCTTCAGTCACTCTATTCTCCCAAATTTGAATTTTAATAACTGTATTTATCATAAACATGTTCCACTATTATTTGAAAAAAAATACGAGCTGAGTTTCTTGTCAGTTCTTCTCATCTCGATATCATTCCGAACTGATGGTAGATTTGACATAGCATAAGAGTCTGTAATAGACCTACATGAATAAAGATATTTTGAATTTGAATTTCTATAAAGAATTTTATCAATTTTACATATTTTATAGCTACTAACTCACTCAGAGTTTCCACGGGTGGAATTATTATAAATTTCACTTATTTTTTAATAAAATAAAACCAATGTCACTCTCTGATAAATTAAGTAATTTAAACTACATAGGCAATTCTATAGGTAAAGGAGTTTAAAAAAAACTATTTTATGATACGTTAGTCGGTCGAAACCCGACGATGTACGAGGTTAGAGAGCCAAATCGAGCAAATATATATTGAAAGAGCCAAAATATTTTTAAGGTTAGCAGTCTTTTTTTCCTTCAGGAAAATGTTTATAGAGTCCCATCGGATTGAGGGGCCATTGAGGAATGCCGTATTGTTACCGGCGAAAAATCTGACGGTTATTTCTCCTCGGATATATCGCCGAGGCCATGGGAACGCTTTCGCATTGCCCAAGACCCCGGCATGTTCCTATCGAAGGCATCTCCGTCCGTCCTGGGAATAGGTACACATGCCATCTCCAGATTCTAATGCCTTCATGCTTAGCTTCGGATGAAAGATTAGCAACCCTAATGTACACTCGAGTTGGGTTGTAAGCAAACAATAAAATATCTAACCTCACACCATACCGAAGGGGATTGTTAATAATGCGGACTAAAAACTCCGTTGCTAGCGATTTTCCATGCCACGCGGTTCTTGCGGGAAACCGTCATGATAAATTCCTAGTTAATTTGTACCGATGACCTAACTGACTTCATGTTCATTTTATAATCCTCCACTGATGCCAGCATAGACAGTTAGCGGAGATGAGTACACCATTCCATTATCATCTCTTAGAGAAAACCTCACAGCATATATATTTAATTATTAAGTCTTCGGCTACTGTGCCATTGCCCTTAAAAGTTGTATCAATTGAAAGTTTTACACTATAATTACTTACAGCAACTCAAATTGGCTATAGGCGCCTCACGCAAATCGATCGTCGTAATGCCATATCCATTCTTAATCTCCCCAGTGATTGTATCAACGCAATGACATATATTATTCAGACACTGTATAGGGTTGAAACTTCCATCCGTCGTGCATCGAGGACCAACGATTGGTAGCGGAACACCTGGACTGATAATTCTCCTCAATTTGTCGTGGAAACGGGAGCAACCTGAAGAGGGAAAGGATGTTTAAAATGAACCCATCCATATATTTTTACCAAAACCACTAGTCAGATGTTAATCAAATTTATATGCGACCACATGAGACTAACACAATACCTTTTAAACAAAGAAAGAATCATCAAGATTGGTTACCGTAGACAAAAGTTGTGCGTAAATCATTTATCACGCACTATTCATCATTTAATGGTACAATTCGAATTGGTAAGTAGTTTACTGAGACTATTGTAATAAATGTAATTTTTTCCAGTTATTTTGATATAATTTGACCTATATAGACTTTGTAAAAAATATATTTGCCATACTAACCACAGTGTAGGCTTTCTTTCGTACGTCTCCCCATGTATAACACTTCGCCGAACAATCTTTCTCCCTCCTCAGATTGGCAGAAACATCTGAAGAATAACACATTATACATATACTTTTAGTTAATGTTCAAATCCTAATCGTATGTGAAGTATAACTCGAATAAAAAAAGATCACAATTTTTAATGGAGAATAGGACCGGTCTCATCATCCTAGGAGGGATATTACATATTGTGACGTTACATCTAAATGTTCAGTTTAACATAGGAAATCAATGGTATTGCATAGGTAAATGAAACATATTACATTATATGTATAAATAAATGCTAAGTATTTATAATTTGTTATAATAAAGATTTTGTTAAGTTTGCGTGCCCTAACAGGGTCTATAAAGATCTAAAAGTACTAATGGTAAATAGATGTAACTAGGAACATTATAGAATGCAATAAAATATTGAGTATTAAGTGCCTGCGATAACGGAATATATTGGGGGGCGCTCGTGAAGCATGACGGGATGAGGATGAAGTCAGATCATCGTATCGAATTTACAAACTTACTTACTTCTAAACATATTACTAAACCTTTACACAACACTCACGCGCGCAGTTTAGCGCGGGAAAGCCCTCTGAGGAATTGTTTTTTGTGTTCATTCTTTTGCGCGTTATTGTTAATATTCTTTGTCATTCCACTTATTTTTTAATATATTCCACAGATATCTATTCAAAAGACACGTTTTATATTTATAAATTATCAATAACTCTACAGTTATTTCTTTTTGCCATAGATAGATGTCCGTCATTTTGCAATAGTAGTTAATTTTTATAGAAAAGACCCCACGATTGAAGGACGCGGAAAAGCGATAGCTAGCGACGTGCGTGGCGTTTCTTATTTTCTTTGACTACATTTTTCCTGCATTTTTCTCTTTGACTACATTTTTCTTTCCTGCGTGAAAGCTGATTCATGCTTGAAAGAGCGTACGTGTAAAGTCATCTTTCTACGGGGAACCGCGTGGACATTTTAACCTCCATTGCAATGTGATTGAGCACTAGCTCCCTCTGACAACCCCTTTTCTCCAAGAAATAAGATTAACACTTACGTCTGTGTAGGTATACAAGAGACGGCATTGTAGTTCCCTTTGCCGTCGCAGCTAGGCCGTTCCTCTAGTACGCCAGTCTCGCCCTTCATGTAACGGTCGTCGAAATCATCTTGCGCTCTGTGGCATTTTGAATCCACTGGAAGTTTAATTATACATTATTTAGAGAATAATTGGTAGTTTGAATCTGTCAGACACAATGAGTGAATTTTTATATACCATACGACAAACGTGCTTGCGGTAATTAATTACCGCCGCCTATTAGCACCCGCAACAGAGGAATTAAAAAAGAGTTACCGGCCTTTTAAGAAAGAATAAGAACTTTTCTTAAAGTTTTCAATATCGTATGGGTTCGGAAATACCATTGCTGGAAGGTGATTTCTCAATGTGCGTGACTAAATTTTTCTGTGAAAACGCAAGGTGAAGTCCTATCATTTAATAAGTCAGGATGGTATAATTTCTAGCGAGTGCTATGGTGAAATTCAGCAGCTGGTAATAATACTGAATTAATGAAATGAGAAAGATTACCATCACATTTATATGTTTTACTGGAAACTAAATTTATAGCTGACTATCGACATGTGATTAATAACAGAATTATAATTAAATATTTGCTAAATGAAAAAAATATTGCAGACAAATACAAAAAATGTTAACCTGATGCACATCTCATTAAGATAACGAATCTTTGTCAATCAACATTTTAGTTAGTAAGTAATATTTGTACAAATAAAATTTGGAACTATTATTTACATTTAAATTAAATTACTACTATATTTTGCGAATTGCCGTCTCTTTGCATCCATTAGAAATTTAATTACAACTTTATTTTGAGAATAGCTATTTGTTTGAAACTATTTGAAATTAAATATGGTTACCATTTACCATCAGGTGGGCCGTCAGCGTGTGTGTCATTCCTGTTACAAAGCTACTTACATCTGGCACAGAAGCCCGCTCCATCACCAGAAGGTTCACAGGTGAGCCCATGACCACATCTACCAATATTAACACCAGTCCCTGGACCGCCCACTGCACAGTTTTGGTTTTCTCCTGCAAATACGAAAAAAATAACCCTTATATATTATAGATTTATACTTGACCTAGATCAACAATTTATACTTGACCTTACTCTTTACATCATATTTCATACAATCGATTCATCTTTTTTCGATCGTACTCTCCCTTACCATCCATACACGTTCGTTCTCCGCTAGCCTCTCATCTGGACCGTATACTTTCTTATACATATAGTAACCACATTAACACTTCACTAATATCAATTTTACTGCTATTACTCTATCAATCTACTATATCTTGAATCAAACAATTTACTATTCGAAAATAGTATTTAAATAAGTTAATAAATAAGAAAGTGCTTATAATTATTGAGTTAAATTATTAATATTATTTTTACTTCATATTTTTTATACTACCGCACTATAAACAACGAAGTATTTTCTATTCTGTAGCGTGTGTGGTAATTACGAACCACGTATTGTCACTCTTTAGACTAATTCTCATCCTTCATACATTGTAATGAAGGGTTATCTGCTTATTATTATTTTAGTACGAGAAGCACATTTGTACGTTATGTCAATGTGTACTGATTACGGTGAGTCAATTGCGGAGCGGTGTAAAATGCGTACAGCCGTCAGCGTTTTACACCGCTCCGCATCCATAAAACGCCTCTACATATCCCCTCCGATCGATCCCCGGCCAATTCAAACGGGGATCGAAATTACGACCGTCTGAGCAGAGGTTCGAACCCCTAGTGGTGCCCTCAGACGTATTCGCAGCCACTCAATAAGTCCTTCCGCAGGTTTGGAGTGCACTCGCCTCAAATGATGTATTTGTGTTGACTGTACATAAAATGCTGCATCATAAAGAGTGTACACACATATGTATATGATAATGTAATGTTCTTTATTTTTATTTTAAATATATCATAGTCGAATTTCGACTATCGGGCGATCATTAGTTAAATTGAATTACCGAATAATGGCATGCAGTAGTCACAACAGTTGCATATTGTCGGGGATGGCAACCATATACCAGTATGGGTTGCATTGTTAATACGACAGTTAGCAGCTGGAGGCGCGCATCCAACGTTAGTCATATGTGTCTAAAAACAATAAAATTAAATTATAGAAATATTCCAGACTTATGACATTGGTGGGACTGGAGGGAAGATAATTGATAGTAATGTGGACTTTGCTAGCAATGTACCATGTCAAGTTGACCTCGACGTGGTTCCCTCTGGAAACCATCGTCATAAATTCATTACGATGTGCTAACTGACCTGACCTCATGCTCATCTTATCATCCTCCACTGCTGACCAGCCAGCGTAAAGCAGTGCCTTAGATTCACTGGTAGTTTTGTATATTCCTTTATCCATATTTAAAATAGAAGTATTATTTTTGTCTATTGTTTTTATTACACTTCTATCATAGTAATGCTCTGCGCTCTGTTATAGTAAAGACCTTAAAGCGTATCTCTTTTTCGATAATTTATAATTACTCTGTGCTGTCTCGTAAGACGTAAAAATTAACCCTTATTCCAAGAGACTAATGTATTAAGCCTGTAATGTCATAAATCCTGTTCACTACCAACTCTCACCCTTCAAAACCAAAACCACATCTTACAAAGCAAGCTGATTAGCGATAGAAATAAATTCAATGGGGTTCAATAATGTGCGTCATGAAAAAATTGTTTATAATTTATCTGGGAATTCGTCCTGGGAATGATAAAGATTGGCGACACACGGTCATCTCATTACTAATTTTACATTCAACACAACTCACTGAACAAAATCCCGTTTCACATAATATATCACTATTCACTACATCAAAATAATATAACAAAAAACTAATTATAAAATAACTTGAATGGGTCGCCATTTTGAATTTAACACCAGTATTATACTGATTGCAATTGTATGTTATCGAGAATTATTTTAATTATTTATCGATATTGATAATATTCGATGACTAATATTTAGAATAGAATAGCTATACCTTTATCTGCTTATCAGTGAATTATTTCCTTGCAATGTTACACACGATGATGTAGAAAAGCCGTCTGCGTGGGACCCTGAGATTCACTTATTTCAGCCAGTATTAAAATAAAAAATCATTCCTTGTTTATAGTATACATTTATTATTATAAATTTTTCTATTTACGGTTTTTCTTATTGTACTTCTTCTATGTACACAATAAAGTGTTTGATTATATATATTATAGATTCAATTATGAAGAATTAGGAAGAAATACAATTGAATTTCTTTTTTTTAAAAGTCAGTTTGTCTTATAAGTGTCTATGTCTAACATTAAATTAAAATCCCATACATGACCAACTATTGCCATGCACATTTATTATTTAAGTAATGGTTTAGTAAGTAATAAGCTGAGAGAGCTGGTGCGGCATGTGAAGCGGCTGAAAAAGCCAAAACATGTAAATACAGGTGTCTAGGCTCCGAATATGATTTTGTCCCATTCGGTGTCGAGACCCTTGGTCCGTGGGGTCCTAGCGCTATAAGACGAAAGAAATAACGAAAAGGTTAGTCGACATCACAGAAGACCAAAGAGCTGGCAGCTACCTTGGACAAAGAATTAGTCTAGCTATTCAAAGAGGGAACGCTGCCAGAGTATCTTCGAAACGTTGCCTAAAGGGACCCCTTTTAATAATATATTTTAGTCATTATATTACCTATATTTTTTAAGCTTTTTAATTTTAGGTTCTTAGTTGTACAATTAGGTTATGAAAATAAATTGATAATATTTAGCTAATATATGTGAATATAATTATTGATACAGTTAATTGAGTTTGTGAAAAGAATGTTGTTAGTAATAAGCTATCAATAAATATGATTTAATAGACCATTTTAATTTATATAAAAAGCTGTCCTTTGTTATTTTTTGCAAAATTTTATACCCATTCTCTTTAAAGACCTATAGATTTCTTCTAAACGATTTGTAGAAGGTGCTAGCGACATAATTAACTTGTGTATTCGATAATGAAACAACTACAAAATATAAAGCAAATTGGTACTTGACTATAAATTACCTTTATTTATATAAATAAATAAAATTAAAGTGTCTATTTGTAATTTCAAATTGACAGCTTTTCATTCAATGCATATTAAAGTATATACAGCACATATATCACAATTTTTTGTTTGTTCGTCTGTTTGTTTTTGCTAATATCTGAAACGGCTGGACCGATTTTGACGGGACTTTCGCTCGCAGATACGAGTAGCTAATATTATAAGGAGTAACTTAGGTTACTTTTATTATAGAAATTTTATTTATTTTAATTTCATACGGACAATTTCGCAGATAACAGACAGAATATACTAATATTATAATGATATAAAGTTGAAATAAGCCCGTTCTTTATAAGGATAATAGGCTACATAACATCACGCTACGACAAATAAGAGCGAAGCTACAATGAAAATTGCTGCAAGAACCTAATAAAATATTAGGTGACGTTATATTCACATAAATTATACACCCCTTTTCTCAACTTTCTTTAGCCTTTGCAGTACCTATTAAAAAACATTCTTCTAATACAGTAAAATAGTCATTCTAATTCCTACGACGCTTTTTACACGAAACTGTAAACACACAAACAATCAGAAAAATATCGCATGGTTACAATTTTAATATATATAAAGAATACTTTTGTAAATAGTAACATATAACTTTAAATAAACATACCTATGGGATAGAAAATTTTCTTCGAAGTTCAACCGATCAACCCGTCAGGTTGATTGCCCCTCCTGGGCACTGACCGCATTACCTCGTGTAATCGCAATTGCGATAAATATGTACATAAATAAATCGGTATATAGATAGATGCGTTTAATTACTTTTTACAAGTCATAGATTAAAAATAGAATATACTTCAAATATAAAAGCGTCCAAATTGTAGTCCAAAAGGTAGAAATAAAGCTGTAGGCAGGAGGTATAAATGTATATATGCTGGTTATAAACGGTATACAAAGTGGAAAATAATACTCATTAAACTGAACAATTCATTCATAATTATACCATAACTAGCTTTTGCTCGCGGCTTCGCTCGCGTTAATTTATCACTTTAGGGGTGGAATTTATCAAGTTTCATACAAACTTTCATCACCTATTTTATCCCCTTGGGAGTAGAATTAATCAAAATCCTTTCTTAGCGAATACCTACGTCATAACATCTACCTTGCATGCCAAATTTCAGCCCGATCCGTCCAGTGGTTTGGGCTGTACGTTGATAGATCACTATGTCAGTCACCTTTGAGTTATATGTTTAGTTATTGAAGAGGAGTCTGACTTCTGAGACACAGGTATTTTCTATACCTATTATTATTATTTACATATATATATAATATTACTTTTAACGGATCATAGATTAAAAATAGAATATACTTAAAATCTAAACGCGTCCAAATTATATTCAATAATGATAAAGTTGTAATCATAAGTTATACTGCAGTATTTACATAACCTAATTGTACAACTAAGAACTAAAATAAAAAGCTTAAAAAAAAAAAATAGAATATAATAACTAAAATATATTATTAAAAGGTAGGTAGTTCCCTCTTTGTATATATGTTGTGTTGCTCTTGAATGACTAACCTTTTCGTATACGAATGGAAGTCGAAAACACAGGTTGCATCCCATATCTTCCATGGAATATCATGTCTCTAATTATATACAGATATTATACTGTAGGTAGGTGTATAGTTGTGAACCGAAAACCATAAAATAAAAGAGGACACTAACTTTTGAAACACAGTTATTTTCCATACCTACTCCAAAAATTAGGGGACTCCATAAATGATTTGTACAAATTAAGTGAAAATAATATTATTATAATTATTAAACAAATATTATTATTTTTGCTAAGAATTAAAGTAGAAATCTATGTAAAAAAAACCTTTTCGTATTCAACAAATTGTAACCGTAATACATATTAATATTGTATAACCTCAAATATTATGCATTAAACATTATTATGAATACTAAGGTGTGACTGTTCATCTGTCTGTCCGATTTGTTTTAATTTCAAGAGTAGGTAAAAGGGTGAATTAATCCTAATGTTTTTTTTTAACTATTCTAATGCTGTTGGCCGCATCTAGCCTTCACAGCTTCACTGAACGATATCGATCCTAATGAAATTTGATGTGAATATATATCATGAGAACGGACATAATCTACATTTTATCTCAAAAAACGCAGACTAACTAAGCGGGTAAGAGCTAGTATTAAATAAATTGAATACACGCCATAAAGTTGGCAAATATTGTTAGGTATTATTATAAAAAACCCAGATTCCAGAGCGTCAGTTTCTTAATATTGAGTAACGTTTGCTTAAACCAACGTTATCAGAAGACGGCGTGGTGTGTTTGGTTTGCTTATCAGCACGAATCTCCTATCTGTGTTATCATATACACCATTTTATAAGCACTTGTTTGAGGAGTCGACAGTGAGATGTGGGTTATTTGTTATGGGATTTCATGATGGAATATTCCGTTATAATTAACACATTAATTTAGTTCTTCTTTATTTTTAGACGTAAAACCTAATTGTCTAGACGTAGACTTGTACTGAGTCGTTAGCGTGGATATAACTGAACCAGCTTCACTATAAACGTTTATCGAACATAAAATAAACTTTTCATACATCCTTTCCTTACTAATATTATAAATGCGAAAGTAACTCTGTCTGTCTGTCTCGCTTTCACGTCAGATACACATATAAAAGAAGAATAGAAATTTGATA